TCAGGGAACAAAAGAATGTGGCCTTGTGGGAAGCGTGAAGGCTGCGGGAGGATAATGGAGGCTTTTGCCGACTTCACAATTCACGAATTCTCCCTCCGTTTCCTCCTCCCCTGATGTACAAAGTAAATCTTCTGTTGGGTGCACGTGCTGTGTGTTAATGCTTGTGCGTGCATATGTGTGCATGTGTGCGTGTGTACATGTATTTGTGTCTGTGTTGTGGGGAGCTGTGGTTAGTGCTGCGCTACGCGGCGCGACGAGCCCGGTTGACCCAATTTCAATTCCAGTTCACGGCCACCAGCACCAGTGACGATTATCTGAACCGGGCATGGGCCTCTCCTAGGTCGACTCAGCCTCAAATGAGTACCTGGTGCAGCGTTTATAAACATCGCCACCAGGGAGACAAAGGCGGTCGAGCGTGGTGCTGTCCACCCCACGCCGTTGTGTACCGAGCCGGCCTTCATAGTTGCTCGTGAAAAGCACTTGCCCCAGCAGTCTGTTAAGGCTACACGGGGATCTTTGTCTATCTTTGTGCGCGTGCGAGGGAAATAGATAAATAAATAATCCCACATACATTTCTGGAAATGACCATTCTGTCATCGCCCAACAAGTCGCCTATTAAATATTGTGTATTTTTTAAATTATTATTTCAGGAAATGCTATTTGATGAGTCTGTTACGTTTTTTGTTGTTTGAGCTTGTGCATTACTGTTAGTACAGTATCTCAAATGTAGTGTGTGTGTGTGCAGTATCATTTTCCGTGGCCTAAACGCGTGCCTGGCCTGCACCAACACCGTGGTGACGTTACCACAACTTAATTGCGAATGGTGGTGGTGGTTGTTGTGTGTCGGAAACGGTGGTGCAATGATTTATGCACTGGGCTGCTATGAACCCCGGTGAACTGCGTATGATTTCTGGGCACGGCTAGCGTCAGTAGGAAGTGGCGTCTTAACCGGTCTTGGACGTCGCCTCGGTGAGATTCGGCCTGAATTGACACACCTGTGCCCCGGGTTCAGAATCTCCTCGTAGAAAAAAATAATAATAAACGAAACATCCCAAGCCTTGAGCCTTGTGGTGTGCATCTCGTGTCTAGGGCACCTCTCCAAACCGACGCACCCTGAACGCGAGTGTCCTCCACGTAAATCTTCACGTTCCTCCAGCGGACAAAAAAAATATCTCTTGAAGGCAAGACGACCTTTGTGTATGGCGGGGGTTACAGGTCCGCACGTGGATCACGTGCGCGAGATCTACCACCACACGTCCCCGGGCTAGACGGGCGACGATTATTCGCTACCCCCTTTGAGATTCGATCGACTGCCGTGATTAGGGAAAGAAAAAAAAATCACCGTTGCGTAAACATCAGCACGAAACCAGCTACACTGCCACCCTGCGTGCCTTGCCTTCAGTAGATGCTCACAACCAGCACTCACCCCCAGCGGCCTGAAGTGTTGTACTTTTCACAGCGTGGAGGTGACACTCGGCGTCAACATTCCGGGGACAAAGGTGGTCAGGAATGAGTGCAGCACAAGAGAGGATGACGTGGGCCAGCAGACCTGCGGGCCCACGTCATCCTCTCTTAATAGGTGCGTGCTAGCACTCACCCTAACAGTCTATACGGTGTAGCTGTGTCTCTGTACGTGTACGGATCTAAGGCATACCACGGTTGAAACTCAAAACTGATCTATCGGCCAGAACATATTTAATGTGTTCTGCTCGAGTTAAACCAACAGAGCATTTTATTTTATTTATTTTAAGAGCTAGTGCAAGACATGGCAGGGACGCAGTAATAAGAGAGCCGCTGTACAGGGCGATTGATGGCCATGATGAACGAGCAACGATACAAATTACATTCAGAGGCGAAACGCCTCTTCACCGAGTCTCGATTATCCACACATCCTGTTATCCGCAAACCTTCCTACTATCCGTGCGCAACACTCTTCCTTTTGTCCGAGCCATCGTGCGAATAAGAGGAAGCGACCTGGAAGTGTTCGCAAATTCATCCTTGTCGGTGTTCACCGTCAGTCGTGCAATGTGAACAGCCGTTTGTCCATCTTCTGCTGGATGAGCACCTCCCATACTAATGCACGTACGTATGTTGAACTTCTTTCACAGCACACGCAGCCAACCGTGCTACGCGGTCATGGGGGTTTAATCGACGACACTCGTCAGTACGGGTTCGTGATGGCGGGGAGCATAGATGCAGGAGCATATACGTACGCCACAACTTTGGATTTTGCGGCACTGCCCTCTGTTGCCAACCACGTAGCTCTCCATCCAGTCTGTGACACCTCGTTTACGCATGGTGGTCGCTTATGAAAGCTCTATCCAGGCTCGACCTTGCATTTGACCTCTGATGAGATTCGATGCTTTCCGGGTGATTTGGGAAATTTGGCCGTGACCGCCTTCATGGAAGGAGTGAAACTTGCGGATAACGACAGATAATTAATGGTCTCAATATCTAATCAGGTAACCACAGTTTTAGTGTGTTGTCATATATATTTGTGTCTAAGTAAAGGGCTTTGCCTGCTTCCGATTGGCTTTTGCGTCACACCCCACGGGAGGCAAATTACTTGGTTCATGGATTATGGGGATAGTATGCCTGTTTTTAGTGGGAGACTTTGAACTTCAGTCCACTCCTTAGTTTTTTTGGGACTGCCCAAATTCGAAATATTTCGTTTTCTGATTGTTCCAGAGATAAGTGTAGACTTCAATTTATGCCAAATGTCATCTCATTTCGCCCTTCGAGAACACCATCAGAATTAACTTTCATCACTGGGTCACCGTCGTTTTGAGCGCAAGTTGAGCTTTCATATTTGTTTGAGATCGGTGACCGGGAGCCATGGCCCTGGGGCTATTATTCGCAATCGTCCATCGGCGCAGGAGGATATAGCCGCGTCTTCCCCCAGCGATGGCCGGATGAGGTTTGAGCCCAGTCCGTCGTTGACTGATGCCGGGTTACGCCACCCGTGATTCACGGGGGATGAAGGAAATGTCGGCTGAGCAGCTGACGCGATCCCAGCGAGAGGGGGGTTGGGGGGCAGTGAACTCGGCGACGGAGCGGTGGGCTCCAGGGTGGGAGTAATCGTCACATGATTACATTTCCGCAGCGTGCCAAGTTATAATAAGACGCTAATAAGCACGTCTCCATCACCCCCCCCGCCCGCGGCCGCCCCCTACGAAAAAAAAACCCCACAAGGCTGCTGGCTCCGGTAATGCCGATGGTGCGAGCCAAAAGCGTTACCGGTTTACAAGTTTGCGAGTGTTCATTTTTTTCCGGTTTTTTTTTCGGGGCAAATTTGTTTCTTGCTAACGGTAATAATAGCAACTGCAGTTGTGCGTTATTATTATCGAGCGCGCAATGTAAGGAAACATCTCAGCGCAGTTTTTTAAGCCTAGGAAACCCCCTAATGGCAGCGTGTTCACCATAACAAGATGAGTCGAATATATATTTTAAAAATACATCTTTTAGACATTTTGTGATGAGGAACCAAATGTATATGTGTCCAAACGAATGCTGGAAGTGGTGACAATGATTAGCGCATTGCACTTTGAACTCAGCGTCCTGTATGTACTGTATGTTGAACTTCTTTCGCACCGTACGTAGCCAAGCGTGCTAATTAGAGTTCGATTGGCAGCCACGGCTAACATCATCAGTCCCCGGGCGATATCTGAACCGATCCTGAGCTCACCTCTCATTCACCAACCCGCAGTATGACCAGCACGGCATTGGGTTGGCATTCATCCCTCAGTGGATTGTAAATTATAATTTTGTATTTGTTGTTGTTATAATCCAACAATGGGATGCAACATGCACCCACTTGATTGCATTGAAATAAAAAAATAAATTATAGGGACCGCATTGCCAGTGTAATGCTAAACATCTCCACACATTCTGCCACTCCCCTACTGGGTTTGTGTTGGATAAATATAATGCTAATAAAATATCATTCTAGATTTGAAGCTTTCGTGACTGCTAGGATCCATACTCTTTGGTTCTATTGGGTAAAGACTTTACCCAATAAAATATAATAATTCACAGCCCTTTGTCAATACACTACTGGACGAAAGATTCCCCACGCCATACTTCACCATGCCGGTCGGTGCAGCTCGGTAAAGGATAGGGGTATGGCCCCATAACTGGTTCAGATATCACTCACCACTGCTGTCAGCCTGGCTGGGAATCGAACCCAGGCATTGTGGGATCGGACCGCAGTGCGCTCGCCACTGCACTGCCGCTCCCTGTTCACAACAACAGCAATGACCGTCGATTGGCTGCTATGTGGTGGTGACGTCCCCACGGCGCTTCTTGCCATGCTAGGTGCAGCAAGGCCATGCGAAATGACCCCACACGCACACAATGTGCACGTTACACGCGCACTCGGGATGAGCTCCTCATGTTCGAGTGAATCGGAAAAAAAAATCGAAATTTTATCCTAAGACACGAAATTGCGCATTGGTCCAAAAAGCATGACATCACACGTGACGTCACATCACTCTCATGACATCACTTTCCCTTTACTCTTCCTGCCAAGAATGATGTCACGCAGCATCGAGTGACGTCACTTTAGTTCGCACGGAGACTTTATAAATGCGTACAGAATTATCCTTTAAAAGCCAAACATCGGAAATGTTTGATATGATCCGAAAACCGTATCGCTAACGTGAGCGCACATGCACACAAAGACAAAAAAACCCCGTAGAGTCTTAACAGATTGTTGAGACGAGTGCTGGCAGTGCGCACCGGTGAAGGCCGCCACGGTACACGAGAGGGGGTGAGTGGCCAGCACCACGCCCGTCCGCCTTTGTCTCCCCAGTGGGGATGTTTTTACACACCCGCACCAGGTTACTTATTAGAGGCTGAGTCGACCTAGGGGAGACCCAGGACCGGTTCAGGTAATCGTCATTATCATTCGTGCCAACACACACGCACGCACGCACTAGCGCACGACGCGGTGACCTAAATCGCTCCGTTCCCTCCACCGCCCCCCGCCCCCCCCCGTGCAGGATGATCAACCTGCGCAGCTGCGAGGACGAGGAGGAGGCGGCCACGGAGCGGCGGCGCCGCGCTCGCGAGGAGCGCCTCCGCTCGGGCACCGCCCCCGCCCAGGAGACGTCCTCGCCCGGCGACGCGCCCGTCAACAACGTCAGGTGGTGCCCACCGCTCTCCCACAATGCCCTGCAGCAGTTCCCCCCACACAATTTTTTTATTCGATGCTCGCGTTGGTGGTCGTTGCGGTGCCGATGACGACGGCGGAGGTTGTGACAACGACAGCGATGACGACGATGGCGACGATGACGGTGGTGGTTGACTCCGGGGGACGATGCAGGCAGGAGACGAATGCGAAGATCGACGGCCGTGGCGGCGGCGGCGGCGGCGGCGGCGACGACGACGGTGACGAGGCCGAGCACGCCGAGCGTCTGCGTCGCCGCGAGGAGCGGCGACAGAAGCGCCAGCAGGAGGAGGAGGAGGAGGAAGCGGCGGCAGCGGCGGCGGCGGCGGCGCGGGAAGAGGAGGCCGAGCGCGAGCGGGAACGGGAGGAGAGGGAGCGCGAGCGGGAACGGGAGAAGGTGAGGGAGCGGGAGAGGAGGGAGCAGGAGCTGGAGCTGCAGCGCCAGCAGGAGGAGGAGGAGGAGGAGCGGCGCGAGATGGAGAGACGCCTCCGCCAAGAGGAGGAGGAGCGGAAGAAGGCTCTGGAGGACGAGAAGGTGGGCAGAGGTCCTCGCACGTGGCGGGGTCGAGGTTTGAGACCGGTTTCAAGACACGCCCCTTGGGTTCCTAACGCCCGCCCGCTCCCAGTGGGTGCGGTAAACAACTTGAACTTGTGTAACGCGCCGCCGCACGGTGTTCGCTCGCTCTGGAAGGGAGAGATCGACTCAAAAGGGGGCGCGAGAAAGGAAACAAATTGTCAGGAAGGCAGAAGCAGCCAAGCGGTGTGCCGGCACCAGGAATCGCCCAAGCTGTGCGTTTCTTTGTATATTAAGATATTCCCAGTCATTGATGAGTGCTTACATGCGAGAGGAAACAGGTGTACCTGGAGAAAACTCACGCGTGCGAGGGGGGAACACTCTATCCCACACAGCGAGCGCAGGTGGAGTCCACGTTTTTTTTACTGTACCGCCTCTCACCTGGCGAGCTAAAGGGGTAACGGACGGCTCCTCCTCGACACCCGCTGGAAGGGAGTTTTGCAACATCTGTGTGGTGGTCGACCAATGAATTAGCCAGATAACCCGCATATATACGTTTTGTATGAATCTGTGCGTCTGTAAAAGCTCAAAACATAAATTACATTGGAAATTCTTGTAAAAAATTAAAGCCACTATAATTATTTTTCACTTATGGTAGAGGTGCAGCCGTGCAATTTCTTGTCCACGCCACTGCTAGTGGAAGAGCCTCTATTAGAGAGATCGACAGAGAGAGAGAGCCCCTTCAGAAGGTATGTTTGGCCTACTCTTCCACGTAACCTATTACGATTGTGAACTCATTGTCATTGTTATCGTTGTATTGTTGTTCATTCAGGAGGAAGATGATTACGATGAGAAAAAAGACGAAGACAGCCGCTCATGGGGGAAGTCGAGGTGGGATTGTTATCATCTTTGGTTATCTCACCGAACATCTCTGGTTATCTCTCCAAACCACCCCTCTTCTTCCCACCATGGGAGAGTTCTGCACGCATAGTAAAGTTTCCTCCATTCATCCGCTCACGATACACGCATGTAACTCGTGCCGTTGCGCGCACACACACACACGCGTGCCGTGTCTCCCCCGTGCTCTCGTCTCACCGATGTCGCCCCCCCACAGCCGTGCCAACGGGCGCTCGCGGGGCCTGGGTGACGACGACGATGACGACGACGACGAAGCAGACGACGACGAGGAGGAAGAGCGACGGAGGCAGCAGCAGCAGGAGGAGGAAGAGGAGAGAGCTGCACGAGAGGAGGTCGGTCTCAAGTTCTGCCCGAGGCCGGCGGTCGGTCACGTGAAATTCATTAAGGAGAAAAATGTTCCACTTGGCTTACACTGGATTTATAAAAGACGTTCAGGGAGATTTTCACTTCAAACTAAACCATTTCTCAATTTTACCAGGTAAGGCCCACTGAGCTATATAGCTCTTTTTCAGAAGCCACCTGGCCACGCAACTATATGTCCTGCGACTGCCGCCACTGCCGATGGTCTTGGGCTGTGTTCGTCACGGTAACGTAGCTGCTTCGCTCGATGGGCCCTCGCCGGGTGAAATAAAGCGGTCGCCCCGTCCCATGTCTCCGACTCCTTCCGGGCCCCAGCAGCCCACGGGCCCTGGCGGTGCGATTGTACCGCCTGCGCACACCCGGTAGCCACGCCGCTTGCCCTGCCCGACGGCATCGGCCGTGATTTGTGCGGACGCCAACCCGCGGCCCCGTCGTCGCCCGTGGGTTTTTGACGCGCGCAGGAGGAGGATAAGCAGAGAAGGCGCGAGGAGGCCGAGCGGCGGAGGTTGGCGGACGACAAGCGGCGGAAGATATCGGCGCTCGCCGAGACGTCTCCCGGCGACGCGGACGAGTCCTTCGGCGGCCTCCTGCCCCGTGCCAGCGGAAAGGTGAGTGGGTAGCGAGCGACTGTTACGCGCCACGAGCCGGTGGAGGCAGGAAGTGCCGTGACGCCCGCCCGCCCGCCCGCCTGTGACCCTGCACCTACTGTCGGGGCTTTATCTTTGCGTTGTTGTAGGTAGAGTTGACCAATGGGTGGCACACGCTGGATAGAGATGTTCACTGCACGATAGAGCCGAGTGACGTGGCCGCTCTTGCCGGTCTTGAAACGTTCTCGCCGATAATTATTTTTTTATAATTGCAACGTTTTATAACGATATCCATAGGGTTCTCTACCTCCCTACCTTCTGCATTGCCTCTGCATACGCACGCACGTGTGAAGCCCTTGTTATTCCACTGCTGGATGAGGAGCTCTCCACACCGCACGGGGTCACAGGGGTTATTTGACCATACTTCACCACGTTGGTCAGCGCAGGTTGGTGAGGGCCGGGAGTCTAGGTACTAAGATATATATAGGCTGTATACATAGGTAGTGCCAGACGTGGTGGATTCTCTCCGGGATAATTTTGCATTCCGTGTATAAACCATTGGAGCCTTTTCGTCTGAGAGGTCGTTTATTTTTTTCATGTCTAAGTTATTTTATTTCTTCATTCCACACATTTTTTGAACCGTGATACACACTCTGCAACATTCTCATGAGTGTGGGTGGCCAGCAACCACGGCTGGTGTCCTTTGTCTCTACAGTGGCGATATTTACACACCACACCAGGTACTCATTTGAGGCCGAGTCGATCTAGGGGAGGCCCAGGACCGGTTCAGATAGTCGTTACTCGTGTTAGCTGCGAGCGGGAATCGAACTCGGGTCGCCGGGTTCACAGCGTGGTGCACTAGATCGCCACGATACCGCTCCCCACGCGTGCGACGAACTAACCGTGTCGAATGTGTCCGCCCAACAGCTGAGCGAGATGACCGAGTCTCTGAGCCGCTCGGTGCAAAGGAGGTGAGTGGAACAAGCTTCTCGGCATTCACACCTTAGCCATTGGAACTGCACACACGAGCGCTTCTAATTAGTACCAAAATATTATTTTGTCATTTTATATAGCGTCATTCATGTCCCGTAACGTCGTACATACCGAGCAAATGAAAACCCCTACTACCAAGGAAAATTGATATTTAATAAGCAAATGAATACATTGCATCAAAATGAAAAGCACAAACAACAGTAGTCAAGGAACAGCCATCTTTTAAATCCACTGCTGGGTGAAGGCCTTCTCACAGCTTTAGGTAATTGGGGCTGTTTGAGCAGACTTTACCACTTTATGATGACGATGAGTAAAGAACCCATTGCCCTACAACGGAAAATTAAAGGCAGCTATCACGTGCAAGTTCTTCCCACAATCCTCCCGTACGTGGGGCACTAAAAGCAATCTGCCTGTGCTGTAATCAAATGGCAAGATAATATGTGTACGAATATATATTTAAAAATATATATCTCCACCTTGGAGATGGAACAGTTAAATCAGCTTGTGTGCGGGTGCTGGATGGATCGTGATATCGCAGCGCTTGCCAGCAGTGGATAGATCATGACCGACCTGCGGCTGCGATGATGTTGACTGTGATCGCCCGTTCCCCAGCGGGAGTCTCAAGGCCAAGCAGCCGCAGCTCGAGATTTGCAAGATCGACAGCAAACTGGAGCTGTACACTTCGGCCGCTGAGGTGGGCAGCGCGGTGCGCGTCCGACGGTCCGCCCCTCCAAACCGGGCCCACCCATCGAGTCCATGAGTTGTCACACGATTCAATCCCAAGATTTATATAGATATGTATTTTTATGTAAATGTTGTTCCGTTTTTTACAGTCTCGTTTGTATTGTGAGGTTTCTTGGTTGCTGTTCAATCTGTCTTGTTTGCTGTGTTCATGGCCGGGCGTGGCGCTGGCCACCCACCCCCCTCGTTGTGCCATCCCGGCCTTCATAGGTGCTATTCGCTAACAGCACTTGCCCCAATAATCTGTTGAAGCTAGACGGGGAATATTTGTCTTTCTGTACGCAGGCACGTGACTGCGTATGAAATTATGCACGTGTACGTTGTTTATGCAGCCCGCATGTATTTACGTGCCTATGATGTGTGCATTGTGAGGAGCGGTCGTGTGGACGTTAGCGCACTGCGCTACAAACCCAGCCAGTCCGATTCCTGTTCACAGCCAACATCGGTGACGAACATCCGAACCCGTACCCGGGCCTCAACTACGTCAACTCGGCCTTAAATGAGAACCTGGTGCGGTGTGTAACCACATCAGCATTGGGAAGACAAAGGCAGCCGGGCGTGGTGCTCGCCACCTTCGTGCACCGTGTCGGCCTTCGTGGGGGCTGCTTGCGAACGGCACTTGCCCCAACAGTCCGCTAAAGGATACGCGGGGGTGGGGGGGGATCTTTGTGTTTGTTGCGTGCGTGTGGGCAGAGCGCGGCAAAGGCAGCGAAGCCACCTAAGCAGGGCGTCCCCGACCTGCCTGTCGCCGTGGACACCATCGCTAGCAAGAAGAACATGTGGGAGACGGGCGACGTCTACAGCGGCGTGGCCGCCCCAAAGGGGTCCTCCAACAAGGTGGGGGGCCCCCTCCACCGACAGGACATGCACTTCCAGGGGCTGCACCTTTCCAGCCTTTCTCGGCCCGGTGGCTCAGCGGTTATATCGGTGTTCTTTAACTTCATTTCAGAGGGCGTGGGATGATGGGGGCCACTTTCGCCGATAAGACATCATCAGTGCGAGGGCCGCCACACATTTGAAACATTGTTGGGTTTGACAGCAGCACGATGATGATGGGGGGGTGTTTTCACTCTTTATGTAGTGTCGGGGGCTGCGCTAAAGGCCACCAGGGGCCACCAGTGGCCTACGGGCCTTGCAATGAATAACACAGGGTTAGAGGGAGCGATTGTGCAGTCGGAAGGTAGAGATGGCGATGGTGGTAATTGAGGAGGTAATGCTTCGATATATTTTAATCTGTCATGAAAACTCACCTATTTAAACTGGCCTTTACGCCCTAGTTCTGGCCACTTTCCCTGCAGGTCCTGTTTATTTCCTGGTTTAGATACACGGGGCGTGCATTGGGAATCTACGAATGAAATGCGCCTTACAAATGGAAAGTATTATTTTGATATGTTGTGGTGTTGGTTGTGAATGAGATGTCGATGGTGGTATTGATGGGTTTTAAATCCAGAACGTGATGATGATAGTGCTACACATTTGCAGCGTTGGTTGTGGTGGAATTTGATGGCAGAAATCGAGACGTAACGGTGATGGTGATAGATGTTGTGTCGTTGGCTGTGGTGGCGTTAACTTTGATAGTTTTAAATTGAGACGCAACGGTGATAGATGTTGCGGCATTGGGTGATCGGGACCGACACAGAACAGAGCACCGAGGCAGCGTCCGCTGTTCCCTCTCACAACGACGTCTTGTTACGACTGTCCCACATCCGCCTACAAAGACTACAACGCTCGCCTTTATTGCCCGAGACCACTCAGCAAATTCTCGAAAATTACCGTGCGGTTTTTCTCCGAGACCCTCCTGTTAGGGGAGTCAGTTGAGGAATGCTCCGTGCTATTTATTTATTTCTTTCTCCCCCCTCCCCAGAAACTCCAAACCACATGCTTTCCCTCTTTCCTGCCTTTCATACTCAGACCCCCCCCCCCCCCCCAAATGTCTCACGATCTCCCTTTTCCACTTGGGCCAGATGTTTGTCTGAACGGAGCTGCCTGCATCGGTGGGGAGGGGGGGGGCAGAGGGGGGTCACTGCCATTCCTCGATATAGATATATATATTTTTTTGAAAAGTAAAATAACGCTTTGCTAGGGTGGGGTGGGGGGGACTGTACATATCACAATTCGTATTATTGGCGCCGTTCAGAATGCTCACACGAGCGGTGCTGCGTCCCTCCCCGTGTTCGAGGGCGGCCCGTGGAAGGAGATAACCCAGAACTACTTCGGAGGTCACTTTTCAAGTGACCGTTTTTATTTGCACACTACGGGGCGCACACGCGTTTCCCGGACAGCCTGCTACGCGGAGAAATGTTTTTGTTTGCACGACAATCATGCCATTTGATGTTTAATCCTCAGCGCTCAAACGATGTCAGGCGAAGTGAAACAAATGTAAATGCGACGTTTTGTTCTTGTGACTGGTTTGATAAGATCAACTCTACACTAATAAAAAAAACTATCCCATGACCTTCTGACGGTCAACTCTGGCTCCAGTGAAACCACACTCATTTTTTGATCGCGATTATTTTATTTGATTTTGTTATTCACGTCCACCGCCACCATCATCATCATCACGACCGCCACACCACGACACCCATCGGCGCCACCATTACCGCCCTTCACTGCCGCCAACGCCCCCTCGACCCCCCACAACAACCGTCATCGCCGCCACCTCCTCAATCGCCGTCGTCCCGTAACGTCCACCTCGTCCGCCGGTGTCTCTGCCCGCAGGAGCTGGCGGTCATCAAGGTGGGCGTGGCCAACCGCATCAGCCAGTGGGGCACCAAGTCGCCCGACGTGGCCGACAGCAAGGTCCCGGCTCAGCCCGCAAAGCCCACGGTAATGCGGCGGTGGCGGCAGCAACAACAACAGCAACAACATCGGCTTCATTGTCTCCACCATCCTCTCCTTGATATTCTCAACTCTCTTTCAGCCCATTCTATCATACATTCTCTCTACTCTCTCCTGGATTATCTCCTCCATTCTCTCTCGTCTCCATTGTCGCCACTCTCTGCGAAGCTCGCGACTCTCCCATCGACTTGCTGTATTCACTCTGAAACTTTCTCCATTCCCTCCGTGATTATTACCGCTCTCGCCCGATCCCGGTCGCGCGTTGTTGCGTGTCGGAGCTGAGGCTGTGACCGCTGACACGTCAATAGGGGGTGGGGGTTAGGGAGGGGGTGCTGCCTGTCCGAACAACACGACGCATAGCTCTTGACTCGAGCTGGGCTGTAATCCCGTGATTTAAGTGATCCATTACTCGACCACTCACCTCTCCCGTTCGACGGGAGAGGTGATGATGGGCAGGGCTTGGTGACATCATCGGCACCGTCAGCCGCTCATGCCGGACATGGCTCCTGGGGGGGGTTTTCCCCACTTCGGTAGGCAGTATATGCGGGTTCCGGTCGCTATTTCTGAAGGCGTACAGAATAATCGCCCACCGAGAAGGGGGAGGAGGCGATCGCGCTAGGCTCCTCAATCAAGCGGCCGAGTCGGCCAGCGGGCCCATCTCTACACGTTTACAGCGGCGGTAGACACGTCGCATCTTTGGCGATGGTCTTGCGCTCTACTAAATAGCAACGACCATCACGGCTTGATTGGAACGTCAAGAAGCAGAGGATTAAATTGTGACGTTTAGAGGCTTGTTCAGCGTGCGTGCCGCGGCCTCGGCTGAAACCCTTCGAAGAGAACCATTTGCGCTCCGAATCTGGGAACACTGCCGCGGTGGAATTAACCAAACTCGTGTTACGACCGCGCAACACGGTCTCACAGCCTGACAGCCGGGGACGTGACAGCCAGATAACATGTAGCAGCCAGATGACACGTGACAGCTGGACGACACGTGACAGCCAGACACGTGACAGCCAGATAACATGTAGCAGCCAGATGACACGTGACAGCTGGACGACACGTGACAGTCAATGCACAAGCCTACCCTCCCCCCTCTCCCTGTGCTTTTATGAGTTTATTCGTTCGTACGTCTCTGTTCCTCTCCGCTTCAGTGATTCGAATTATGATTTTCTTTGTTTTCAGCTGATCTGTGGCGCTCTCTCTCTCTCTCTCCGCCGACTGCCCCGCTCTCACTTTTAGACGCTGCCTCTTTTCTGCCTCCTCTTGAGCAGCTCTGTGCTCGGCACTCTGTCACTGCCAGGTAAAACTCGCGAACCGCCTCCTCCCCGCCGCCCTCCCCTGGAGGCTCCCGGCACGCTTTGCTTTTCATTGACCTCGCATGGACTGCCTCGGGAGCACGACCATCGTTTTAATTTTGTCAAGGCACGCGCCGCCCGCACGCACGCACGCACAAACACACAAAATAAAAAGATGACCCCCCCCCCTCCCTTCCCCCCCCCCGCCCCGCGTATATCCTTAACAGACTTTTTGGGCAAGTGCTGTTAGCGAGCACCTAATGAAGGCCGGCACGGGACACAAGGGAGTGGGTGGCCAGCACCACGCCCGGCCGCTGTTGTCTCCCTCGTGGCGATGTTTACACATCGCACCAGGAACTCATTTGAGGCTCAGTCGCCCCGGTGGAGGCCCAGGACCGGTTCAGAAAATCGTCACTGATGTTGGCCGTGAGCGGGAATTTAATTCGGGACTCCGCAGCGCGCTGACCGCTGCGCTACCGCTCCCCACCACAAACGCACCAATACACCACTAGAAAGCGTGACAATTTTTAAGTTTCCAAAGTCGTTTCTGAAAGTAATTGAGCATGGGAGCTGTGCTCATCACCCACTTACGGCCACCCCCAAGCCAATGGTGGAAGTAACGTATTTATATGGCCGGGGCGAGTCTATGCAGTGGACAACCACTGCTGAATCCCACAAAACGGTTCTTATCTTTGTCTCTCAATGCTACAAAAATATCTGCAAAAGAATTCCCCTTTCCAAGATCCTCGTTTGTTTATTTGGTGGGTGGGAGGGTTGGGGTCGAGGGGGGAGGGCATGACCTGACCCGGAGAATGGGAAAAAAAAATATTCGAACGGAGATAACGAACAGATCGGCAACCACCACCTCACTGCCATCTGCGAGCGACAAAGCAATCGATTTTGAGCGAATATTGGCCCAGCAAATGTGGCGCACGTTGGACCAACGTCCGGCCAACGTTGGTCAAACGGTTCCAACCGTTTGTCAACCTCGGCCCCAACGTTGGCACGTTTACTGGGAGACAAGGTCTGCAACGCTGCGTGTTCGGACACGGTGAAGAGAAAGAGAGAGAGTCGAGAGAGAGAGAGAGGGGGGTGATTGCATTCCGTTCATCATCCATCCGGCGAATCGACGACGAGGAAAAAAATAAATCTCACGGGAGCATCGCGACGTCTCTGATGAACCAGATCTCTCAAAAGATGCACTCACTCGCTCGCGTGCGGGGACGTGTGCGCGCGCGCTCGACGATAAGCGTGCCAGTGTGTTTACGTGCACGCAATTACACATAAGCGCCTGGGGGTGGAGCGGTGGGGGAGGTAGGGAGTGGGGGGTGAGTAATTGAGGCTGTACGAGTGGGGGTGGCCACGCACACTCGGGTTTGTTTGTCCAGTGCGTTCAATGCACTCGCTGCGGTCAACCCTATTTGTGAGAGTTTCGTTCCCAAAGCTTCACCCTGCCCCCACCCCCCCCTTCTCCTCCTCCATCTCCTCGCCGCCCTCTTAGCCCCCTCCTCTCAGCCTCCAAAATTCTCAAGGCGCCTCCCACCCGAGCACCCCGCGTGACCCCACATCTGGAAGACCCTGGCCCTAGCTCGCCCACCCACCCACCCACCTCCGACTCATCGTTTTTTGTTCTTCGTTGAGAGCACGGCTAGAATTGTTTCGAGGTCATGTGCTCCGTGCTGTCGGTATGTAGAGCTAAGCGGTGCAATGTTGCATTATGGTTAGAGCGCGGTGGTGAGCGGAGTGGTTAGAGAGCGGTGGTGAACGAGGTGGTTAGAGAGTGGTGGTGAGCGGAGAGATTAGAGAGCAGTGGTGAGCACGGGGGTTATCGAGCTATGGTGATGAGGGAGTAGGTTTCTGCTTCTAAGTTAACTCCCAAAGCGTTCAGATAAAGATTCATGAAATGGAGCGTTTCTCTATCTGTTGCCATCAGGGTGTTATTGCCGATTCCCTCCAGACAATAGACTGATATACCAGCCTCTCACGGGGTCTTCAGACAATGGACCGAGATATCGCAGCCTTCATACCTGCTTGACATTTCGGTTCCGATGAAGTCTCTCGACGATAATTGACCGACAGCCCAGCCTCCGGTAGGATCTTTAGACGCTCGACCGACAAAACCCGCAGCCTCCGCCTGACGTGGACCCTCGGTTGAGTCGACCCAGAGGCTGACCGGAGTGCCCGTGGTGGGTCTCGGGCTGAGTCGGTCGAGCGGCGAGCGTGTATACCGTGCGTGTGTGCGTGTACCGTGCACGCGAGCGCTAATGCGATCCAGGGCGTCGTGGCGATGGGTGCTCGTGTTTCTGCTCCGAGGAGGCCAACGCGCTCATTCCTCATCTTCGTATCAGGGCCACGGCACAAGCACGTGCAGCGCTGCCATTACGTAAACGCCGCGACTCGGCGACTTTGTTTAATTGTTTATTTTCGAGAAATATTCACGCTAAAGCGATTTTTGATCGTTGTTTATTTTTTTCTCTCCCCTTTTTCGTCGAGCCGACATCGAGTTTGCTGTACCCCCCCTACCCCCGCCCCCAACGCCCACCCTCCAGTGATGCAATGAGGTCACAAGGCAGATATACGTTACAGCAATTACTTGTTAAGGAATGTGACATAACTAATATCTAGCATGTGTTAACATTGAATAACTGCCACGGGTCAGAAGGTCAAATGCTCCTACAGGACGGGGCATTAACTGCAGGCTGTGATCTGCTGTCCCACGTTGGGGTGAATTATATTTGTTTTTTTTATGAATTACTGCGGAGTTATGTTCTGGGCAATTCGGAACAATGTCCCAAGCCGACAGAGAGCGTCGCCGAACTGCTTTGTTTTTTTCTACCCCCTGAAGTCTCGAAGAACACTGCAGAGAGAGAGCGAGCGCTCTTCGCTTTAGACCTCCGTTCTCTTTCTTGGGGGGGGAGGGGGGTCGCCTGTCACCTCACCACCCGGGACGCGCCATATTTTGTCAGACCTCGGAACCTAAAGGAGGCCCGGGCCCGCGTAGTCTGTTGGTTGGATGGGCGACCGCCACCACGATCGTAGGCCGCCGCAGATCGACGTCGTCAGGCGCGGGGGCAGCGCAGCAACATCAATGCCCCCATCACCCGTGCTCCCCTCCCCCTATCCCACCACCATCGCTACCCCACACTGAGCGGCCGGCGTGGAGAAGTACGGTCAAATAAACCCCAGGGGATGCCCTCACCCGGCCGTGGATTGACGAAAATCGTTGTGGGGCTTCAATCTGGGCAGATGGATCCGCTGCGTTACGGCGTTCGGGCCTCCGTTTAGACGGAGCTAAAGAAAAACACCCCTCTGGAGGGAGCTTTGGCCTACCTTTGCACGCCTTGGAAGAGCTGGGAGTAGCCACACTTGTGACCTGCCCATCGAATAACTGGGGGTGCACCTGTTCATACCCGTGGGTGGATTTAAGAAATTTGGACCATCGTTTCAACTGCTGCGCTGAGTGCCTCGTGCGAGTGTGGCGCTTCACTCCCGTTGGAGCCGGCGGCGTTGCCGTTGCCGCGTTTCGGCCAACGTGGCCGGCGCTGGGAAATCTGAAACCCCCATCGGAGTCGCACCCCCCTCCAGAGACCCCCCCCCCCACCCTCCCCCGTCGCTTCGCCGCTACTCAGCAGTCGGAACGAGGGTTTAAATATCTATTTTCATAATAACGCGTTCTGACGTTTCCCCGAAAAACCGCTAGCGCCCGCTCGCAAGCTCGCCCGAAACTAAACCACGCCACTCACCACCCGCCGTTCCTCACCAACCTCGCCGAGTCTCTTTCCCCCCACCTCCTCTCTCTCTCTCGCTCCGCTCGCTCAGCTCACCATTCCCGTATCTCCAAGGAAATAAAAATGTTAGTTAGGTGACGTGCGAGTTTGCATCCCAAGCAGTGGAGAAGGCGGCGAGCCGAGTGGCGATCAGGAATGTTCACCGATGAGCGAGCAGTCCTCGGTTCATCGCTCGCGGCGGCGAGAGCTTTGGGTGAACGGACGCGAGCTGAAGTTCCAAGTCGCTGTCCTTCATTGATGTGAACCGTGAACTCATTGAGATCAAACTTTAAATCCACGCGAACTTGCAAGCGCTATTGCCAATCCACAGCTGGATGAGGTTGTGGGAACCTATTTAACGAATCTTCACCATGCCGGTCAGTGTGGGTTGAGTGAAGGCGTGGAGCATAGAAGTACCGTACAACAATGTAGTTGTTTTCTTCATTTCCCTTTGCTGCTGGCGACCACGTAGCCCCGCAGCTGCCTGTAACAAACTTGTTGTGCATGGTGGTCTCCCATCCGAGAACTATCCAGGCTCAAGCCCGCTTAGCTTCTGAGATCTGATGAGATGGGGTGCATTCGGGTCATAGTCGCAAAACCCTGCTGTTAGGTAAATATATGTTTTGATTCACTTTATGAACGTCTATTTTTGGTCATGACACCGGTGTATAGGGCATCCGTGGTGAACAGCGACCACGAGACTTTCCACTCAGACCGTGTCGACGTATACGCGTTGCAATTAATCGTAAGGAATCGATTAATTGCGATTTACGTAAATCACGTGCTAACGTTACGTGTGAACAGAGGCAAAAAACTAACGAGAATAAATTGTACCATAAACGATATGAATGAGATGATGAAATGGAGACAAAAATTAATAGAATTTTTAATCGAATGGCAAAGTCTTCATTTACAATTCATCAAATCGGAGCGTGGAGGGGGTAAAGAATCGCCAATACTTGGCAATTCAAATGAACAATCATAATAAGAATGATAATAAAGCACCCACTGGGCAAGTCTTCAGAGATGGAGAAATGGTGAACTCATGCTTCGGCGACGTTGAATTCATGATATCGCGCGACTTGCGTGAGCCTCAAAGCAAAAGTACATCGATGTTAACGGAGACAAAAGCAACGCAAGAAACACCGAATCACTCATTTGAATCACAACCCTGCATATACTGCGGCGACAACTGATCGCATCACGTGTCACTCTTTGATATTAATCATTGCATAGCTTGGCGTCACATTAATCACCAAGCAACAACAATAAAACTAGGATAGCTCCGCCAGGTGCGTGTCAAGGGTGAACTCGCACGCGAGCACCGATGATGATTCATGAACGCCGCTTCGTTCTAACGCGAGCGCACGCACGCACGCGCTGCCGCGCACGTGCGTCAGGCCGGGCGGCCGCGATCGCGAGCCCTCATTACCGTGATTTACAACCCACAGGTCGCAGACACCGCGAGCGCTCCCCCCGCCCCCTCTCTCCCCTTACCAACCCGTACAAATAAATGGCGAGCGCCGTGCCGATGAGCGTGGCGTCGCGCAAGCCCGCGCCGGCCGAGAACAGAGCGCGGCTCGCTCCGGTTTGGGCGTCGGTCGTTTTTGCTCCGGGTTTTGGGTCGCCAACTTTTCTTTAAGGTTGGGTACAAAAAAAAAACGGAACGCATTGTGGGCAAGAATGTCTCACAATGCGTGTATATTGATCTTCTTTGGCAACCTTACGTAGCCAAACGTGCTAATTGGAGGTGCGGGGAAAGGACAGCAAATTAAACACAAGAAAGCAGTGCTAAAGAAATGGGTTTCCAATCTCGATTGCCAAGAAGATGGGAGCACTACAGGCACAATGCATGGACCTGAGTGGTGTGTTGATACTAATCTTGTCATTGTTACTCAGCTGACCGCGGAAGGTGACTTTGAATGCTTCTGGGAAGATTTGCACGTTTCCCAGAACACACCTGCCTAAATCAGAGGAGGGATGGGATCCTGCGAAAATTATGACAGGTGGGCAACTCCCAGCGCCCACAGCTCGAGGAGTGACAAAAGTCTGCCTCGAGTTTTCCATCCTCGGAAAGCGTGCGCAAGTGGACTAAGTTGATGGTCGAAACAAAGAAGTAGCGTGAGGCTACCGTTTCGCGATGACGAAGTGTGCGTGCGGCGTGCGAAGACACGATTGAGCTGTTGACCGGAGGTAAATTGGTAAACGTTGAAACGTGGGCAGTGGTGGGCCCCATGGGGTTGGCGTTTGAGAAACCCTGGCATGGGCAGGACACGGCTGCTAGAATGGACGTTTGCCAGTGGTCGAGACAAATGACGGATTCGCAGCCAAAAGGGGGGCACGCATCTTTTGTTCTTTCGGTAAAGTCACGTAGATAGGAAAATAAAAATAATAATAAAAAGAAAGTGAATAAAAATAAGAAAAAAATACTAAAAAACAAAAAAACACTCGTGTAAACTGTTAGCCTGATTCTTATTCTGAGTTAGTGTACTGGCAGTCTATAATGTAGACTGTAGCCTGGTTATTAAGTTTGGTGAGTGTACTGGCAGTCTATAATGTAGACTGTAGCCTGGTTACTAAGTTTGGTGAGTGTACTGGCAGTCTATAATGTAGACTGTAGTTATTAATGCTAAGTACTGTACGTTGAACTTCTTTCGCACCGTGCGTGGCCAACCACGCTAATCGGAGGTTGCAGGGGCAGGACAACAAACTAAACACAAAAAAGCAGTCCTAAATAAATGAGCTTTCAATCAATGATGACGATGATCCGGTAGAGGTGGGGGAGCTGCAGCGGGGAACGGGAGAGGCGATGAAGGCGCTGCCTGTGTTGTGCCGACGGTGTGCTGCGCAGGATCTGCGCCCCGTGGATATCCTGAGCAAGCGCAGCATGTGGGAGCACATGTCGGACGCTCCGGCCTCCGAGCGTGACAAGTCTGGGCTCAACAAGGTCAGGGGACACAACGGCGCAAAACACACGCGCAAAAACACACGCGCGCGTGTTCAGGTGCGCTCAGCGATACCTCTGCACATGTGCAATCGTACGTATACAACAACACGCAATTCGCCACTGAGTGAAGGTGACGTCACCACGGCACCTGTGCCAGGCCAGGTGCACTTTGAGGCCACGTGAAGTGTCGAAGGCTCACCGGCAGGAGGTCACGGGGACAGACCCAGGTGCCATGGGTTGACTGACTGAGATGACTGGCAGATGCACCAGCTGTGCCCCCGACTGTGCCAACTTATGAACACGCACCCGCTACACTTGCACAGTCACAAAGATCCCCCATACACACATACAGACACGCACATGCGTAACTTGGAAGAAATCAAATACTCCCCCCCGCACTTTCAAACTGGAATAACAACTCCACCAAAGATAACAGCTCTTGGTGAGTCATATAATCGAATAACACATCAGACCACTGAACTTGACAGAGACTGAACCTGGCCGCTGTCTGTCTCTCTCGTTCACTCTCCCCGCAGTCCACGCCCAGCGGGAAGCGATACAAGTTCATCATCACAGGGCACGGCAAATACGAGAAGGTTCCCATCGAGGAGGGAGAGGACTGCGAGAACGGTACGGCACCAACACCCCCCCCCCCCCCCACCGTCACCTCGGCCTCAGAATCGGAATCTTGATACAGACTGGAGGAGGAATCGGATGAGCTATGAAGCTCCCTTTCGAAGATGGGTCGGGTCAGCAAGTCACAATGGCAAACGGTGCAAAAAAAACAACCGATAGGAGTGCAAAATAGAGAAAATGGTGTGCAGGTAACAATTAATAAATAAATCAGATAATATTTTTACAAGTCCGATTTTTCAACGTTGGGCAAGGCAGCAAAAACAACGAGTGCCGCACCCCCGATTAGCACGGTTGGCTACGTATGGTGCCAAAGAAGTTCAACACACGTACATACACAACACACCCTCAATAGAATGGCACACTAACTCCGGCCCCAACGCCCGGGTGTTGTTCTGGCCGAGTGTGGCCACCGGCGCCCTCTAGAGCGCGATTCCTCAAACTCCACCCCTTACGTCTCCCCCCCCCCCCCCCCCAGCATCCCCCCCCACCACCCCACGCCAATGCTCACCCACAAGGTCCAACATTTTGACATTTCTTCTTCTCGTTTTTGCCATTTTCCTCCGAATCGCGGTTTATTTAGAAAGGTAATAATAATAATTGCATTTACAAATCGCCTTTTAGCCAGTATTTCAAAGTCTGTGCACGGCAGCAAAAGCTCAGCATAAAAAAATACTCACAAAACAAGATCAAAAGAAATGCTAAAAGCCATTTTCTGAAGTAACTAACAGTTGAATCAAAGGAAGTGTATAAATACGTGTTTCAAAGATGTCCCGACTCTGAGAATCTGAGATCTTGTGGGATAGATTTGAGTCCCGGGACTATGCAGGAAACAGCTCAGTCACCCATCGACTGAAGCCTCGATGACCTGGAAATGCAGAGAGAACCTGCATCCCCAGGTCTTAGGAGATGGGTGCAGCTTGTCTCTGACGTGGGCTGGGGCAAGGTGGATCGGCGTCGTGTTATCACTGCCCGTAGACGATTCATTTCGGTGCAGGAAGGTGACGTCAAAGAGCTACCTCCGAGGTCGCTTCGGCTGGTTGCCTCTCATCCACACGTGGCAATCGCATTAGTCCGCTGGGGTTGCAACACGCCTCGTCACATGAGCCAGTCATGCTGCAGTGGTGCAGCAGTTTGCACGCTGAACGAAAAAAAGCTCGACAGGCCCGGATTCTATTCCAAAGCCACAGCTAACGTAAGTGGCAAGCGATATCTGAAACAGTCATGGGCCTCTTCTCCCCAGGTCAACCCAAACGAGTATCCCGCCCCCCGCATCCCCAGAGCGGCATGTAAACATCAGCACTGGGCAGACAAGGACGGCCGCTGTGGCCACACCATTTCCTCTCCTCGCGCTGCCGAGCTGGCCTTAATAGGTGCTCGCTAACAGTACTGCCCCCAGGGTCTAATAAGGATATACAGGGAATCTTTGTCTTCGGTGTATGTTTACACGTGCGTACAAACATATACGCGCGGGCTCATCCGGTCGCGATTCCATTGCACGGTCATGTTAGACTGCGGGCGCCCGGCGAACGTGGGACTATTTTAACTCTGGAAATAACAGAGCAACCCCATGGAGATTTATGGTAAATAAGAGGTGGTGGCTGCGGGTCATGCTCGAGGTAGGCGTAGCGAAGACCCAACCCCATGCAGAGGCATTGAGTGCAACGGAGAGGAGAGAGCAAGCCAGCAAGAGTGAGAAAATATATATATTTTAAATTACCAGGTAAGGGCCACTGAGCTATGTAGATATTTTTCAGAAGCGATTGGATAGCTCAACGAAGTGGCTTATGATGTGAAAATTTATAGCAACCAAATACTCTGAATACAAGTTTATAAATGTGGAGGAAAAAGCAGAGGACCCAGAGAAAAATCCATGCGACCACGGGGAGACTCCAAATATATAGCAGGCGTCAGAGTTGGGATCGAACCCACGACCTCCTGCATACCAGGCGAGATAGTTAACATCTCACCACTGTGGCGGGAGAGCGGACATCAGAGTGAAAAAGAGAAGGACAGGTGCAGCGAGGGTTGTTGAGAGCAGAGGTAAAATAAAGGTAAGAGATGGAGATTGTGAGCGATAGAGCGAGTTCGTAAGATAGAGAGAGAGTAAGCAGGAGAGCCAGAGAGAGAGAGAGAGTGCAGGGTCTACTAGGACCTTCCTATTCTTGTCTATGAGGAGTCAGCGATGATGGATGGCAGCAGCTGTTTTTTTTGGTGAAGTATGGCCTAACCTCTCCTAGGAAACTTGTGTGTGTGCATGGTTGAAGGTTGCTTGCTTCCAGCCGAACTTGGAACTTTGCGGGCATGGCTTCTTCCACGGTGGAATTGGTGGGGGGTGGGGGTGATGGGGGGGGGGAGCAAATCACCCAAACAGCAGTGCCCCTCAGTTCGTGTTCCCCATTTCTCCCATTCAGGAGAAGCTCCTCAGTGTGGCTGAGGAGTAGGTGCATCAGCTTTGTTGATTAAACATCAATTCATACACTCACGATACATGCAGTGTGAAAATCTTTTTTTATTCATGTGTTTTTGCTATTGGCTCCTGTAACTCCCTGCAGCCACATTGACTTTTCAAGATGATTTTCGCATCTTCAAGATCCTCCATGGACTCCCCAGCATATTTCTCCTCTCTTATCTCACTCTTCATTCCTCAATCGCCTACTTAGCCCCTCTCGTCATACTCTGTTCTCTCCCCCCACGCACCCTCTGTGCCAGCAACCCAGTCTTTCTGTCAGTCACGTGTCCACCTTCACTTAGTGGGGGTCACTCGTCCTCTTCTGCTGCACCTTGGGTCTGGTACTCCATTCTCCCAGAAATCTGTGCTGTCAATTCCCTGCACGTTTAATCCCAGGCTATGCCTATTTTTCTCTATACATAAATATGCATGCTGTTTTTTTTTAACAGTAAGATGTGGTCACATATACATTCTACCTAAGCTAACATTGTATTGTCTCGTATATTCCGAAAAGCACACCCATTTGCATTTTATCTCAAGCCCAGTGCAGGCTTCGACCTGCTCAGCAGCCATATTGTTTTTTTCTGGAGTGTATATGTACGGTATCATCATGCAAGAAAACGTAGCATTCAATTTTTTATTAGATTTTGCTTTAAACATATTTACAATCAAACGTACAAGTTTGTATATAGTCTTATATTTATGCACAGTTATAGTAATTACCTAAACTTGATAAATAACCCTTCTCAAACTTTCTCACCAATGATGTGCAAACAAGCACGTATTTTAACAAAGACAGTGATTGTTGGTTTTAGTTAAAAAAATGTTTAAGTATCAAGGTGTTGTATTCAACTCTCCCGGTACACAGGAGCTTGTGTGATCGATCCTGGACCCTGACGATGCCTATATATTTGGAGTTTGATTGATCTCTCTACCCGTGGTCATGTGGATATTTGTCCAGGTCCTCTGGTTTTCCCCTCCACATTTAGAAACATGCGGTGAGGTTATTTGTCTGCAATTATAAATTCCCACGTGTAATGATATAAGCAATTTCGATGAGCTATCATGTGTGGCCAGGTCGCAACTGAAAAACAGCAACAAATCTCAGTGGGCTTTACCTGGTAAATAAAAGAATTTAGTTCAGTTTTTTAATTATTATTATGAAAGAGCTACATTGCATTAAGATCACATACATGTGCAAAACCTCAGTGGTTCAATAGCAATGCATATCACGACACTGCTCGGTATGAACACATGATTTTAGCAGTTTTCCTTTTCATTGCAAACTCCTCGACTATACTGTTCAGTACGTCGCTTACCCGACCGTCACCTATCTTCCCTCACCAAGCAAAACACCCACACACTGTGCATGGTGGTCACAATTTTCTGTCAATATTCACATATCCAACCATTTCACGTATCTGCCTATACATCACTACCCAGGGAGTCGGGTGTTACATTGCACTGTACATACATATATACTGTAAAATCATTATTTTACATCTGCAGACAGCCGATGAGAGTTATCCGATGTCAGCGAGAGCTGTGTTTTAACACCGGAGCGTACAGTGAGGGAAAAAAGTATTTGATACCCTGCTGATTTTGTTCGTTTGCCCACTGACAAAGAAATGATCCGTCTATCATTTTAATGGTAGGTTTATTTGAACAGTGAGAGACAGAATAACAACAAAAAAAATCCAGAAAAACGCTTGTCAAAAATGTTATAAATTGATTTGCATTTTAATGAGGGAAATAAGTATTTGCCCCCCTCTCAATCAGAAAGATTTCTGGCTCCCAGGTGTCTTTTATACAGGTAACGAGTTGAGATTAGGAGCACACTCTTAAAGGGAGTGTCCCTGATCTCAGCTTGTTACCTGTATAAAAGACACCTGTCCACAGAAGCAATCGATCAATCAGATTCCAAACTCTCCACCATGGCCAAGACCAAGGAGCTCTCCAAGGATGTCAGGGACAAGATTGTAGACCTACACAAGGCTGGAATGGGCTACAAGACCATTGCCAAGCAGCTTGGTGAGAAGGTGACAACAGTTGGTGGGATTATTCGCAAATGGAAGAAACACAAAAGAACTGTCAATCTCCCTCGGCCTGGGGCTCCATGCAAGATCTCACCTCGTGGAGTTGCAATGATCATGAGAACGGTGAGGAATCAGCCCAGAACTACACGGGAGGATCTTGTCAATGATCTCAAGGCAGCTGGGACCATAGTCACCAAGAAAACAATTGGTAACACACTACGCCATGAAGGACTGAAATCCTGCAGCGCCCGCAAGGTCCCCCTGCTCAAGAAAGCACATATATATGTGCCCATCTGAAGTTTGCCAATGAACATCTGAATGATTCAGAGGACAACTGGGTGAAAGTGTTGTGGTCAGGTGAGACCAAAATGGAGCTCTTTGGCATCAACTCAACTCGCCGTGTTTGGAGGAGGAGGAATGCTGCCTATGACCCCAAGAACACCATCCTCACCATCAAACATGGAGGTGGAACATTATGTTTTGGGGGTGTTTTTCTGCTAAGGGGACAG